AGGGGGGGGGGGAGACAGAGGGAGGTCAGATCCAGGATCCAGGAGGGTGACGAGGATAGCCCGAGCCAGGGCCGCCGTAGGACCGTCGGAGACAAACTGCGCGAGGAGGAAACTCAGCCCCGCGCGCGCGATCTGCCGTCAGCGCCATTTTTTCCGTGAGTGAAGCTCCGGGCTCCGGGAGCGGCTGGGGGCCAACAGCGGTGGGGGCCAGCACGGCCCGCTGCAGCACTCCGGCTGCTGGCCACAGCGATAAATTTCAGGTTTTGTGGATGGAGAAGGAGAGCGGGAATGGGAACATGGAGAACCGTGGGGCCTGTCGCGCTGTCAGCCCTTTTAGCAAAAGTGGGTCAGGGTATTGAGTTCGCGTATCACGTATCCGTAATTATTATATTCCACACACCCTCACATCGCCTCACCCTACCCCCCCGCTCTCCCCCAAAGTCCGGCAGGAAGCTGTCCCGGAGGGTTGTCGTAGGGGGAGTTGTTCGTAGCTCGTGCCAATAACAGACTTTCTAGCAGGGTGCTTGGCTGGTGGAGGCCGGCCTTGTTCTAGCGGCAGCCTCCTCAGACAAAGTCCAGCGCCCATCGCCTTGACGGACGGTAATGACCCGCTCCAGTAGATATAAAATTACTCCATTAAACGCTAAGATTTGGCCGCGCTCTAGTCGCGGCTTTAATACACCTCGACTAGACAGGGTAAAAACGACGACCGAAGAGAGAGGGAGAGACGTGGGGGGGGGGGGGGGGGGGGGCAGGACGAAACCGTCATAACTGTGCTGCTCCCGCTGCGCCATGCGATAAAAAAGCACGCCAAGGCTGCGAAGACAAGCAGTCAGGTATTCGGTTCTTCTTTTGTTTGTGTTTGCCGTTGTTGTTACTTCCAAGTCGTTTCCTTGCGTAATTCAGTTACACAGTTTCCACGGGGTGCTGGAGTTGCCTGCAGTAGCGGCGGCGGCACGGACCCTCCGCCCTCCGCCCGCCACGCCCGCACCGCTGCGACACTCTAGCGCTGCGCACAAAAGCGAAGGCCACCGGCTAAGCAAACCGATATGTTACTCCTTGCCTTGCCTAGCGAGCGCCCCTCTTTGCAAACCCCAAACTAACAGTTCCCCAGCGGGCGGCAGTGTGGCGCCTGGTATATATCCTCTGGGATCCGCCCTTCTAATGTTCAAGCGCCTTCCCGTCCAGCTGTCAGACCTCAAGTGCACTTCCCTCCCCCCGACACACACACACGAACATGCCGCTCCTCCTCGCCAGATTTCCGAACGTGGCCCTGGCTGGCGCTGGCGCTCCCTTGCTGGCTCGGCCGGCCCCGTGCGCCGCACACTACTTCTCCGTTATCGTGGTCGCGCTGAGTCATGGCGAGGCCACCCCGGACAGACTGGCTGGACCGGACCGATGCACTTGTCGCCGTGCTAATTGGAGCCGAGTCGGATGCCAAGTCCCGGGGCCGCCACCACCACACCACTACTCGGCCGCAGCCGCAGCCGCCCCTGCTGCTGCCCGAACAGCGAACAGGGGCTTCACTTAACCAAGGGAGGAACACAAACTCGTGTCGAAAAAGAGTGTCAACGCCTTATTTGCTAAACAACACAGGCCTTGCTAGTCGTAATACATATGAAAAAGTTTAAAATATGGTAAGATTGTTGGTTCACCTATGAGCTATTGTGTATATTTGCGTTGGGGGCTAAAGGAAACAGAGAAGACTATTATCTTGAAATGACCGGGTTCTAAAAGCAATTAAACATACACACAACTTACGGAGAATGAAAAAAAGCTCTATCATGGTGCGCCGGTCATGCACATCACGACATTGTGGAGTATATCGGGATTTTTTGGTAAATAAAAAAGAAAATGTTGACAGGGTCTTTTTCGACACAACTCTGGGGCGGACAGGAATATGAAGCGGCTACTGCCAAAAACAACGTTTTTTTTTACGACGGTGACCACCGCCTTACAGTGCCGGAGCTCTAGGCCAACAATACGCTAAATAGTGAAGAATAAGACAACATGTTACTGTGCTCTTTCTACATATACGATGTGTGCTACACGACCAAAAGACATGAACATTAACAGTAATCGACATGGGGCTCAGAATAGGCCCACGCACCTAGCCTAAGGTGAGTTTCTAGGGCAGTGCTACGTGTGTGGAAGTGAACAAGCAGGCTCGGCCTGTGCACGTCGACGCCCACCGTTTTCACGTAGGAGACGGTATCGCTGGTGGCGTCGGTAAAGGCGCGTCTCAGGCGCTCGCGGCGAGCCTGCGACAGTGTCTGCGGGCACAGGAGGATCCCCTGGGATCCGGAACACACAGTCAGCATCACACGACACACAGCAAGCTGCTCTACTCATACCCTCGCTGACCACGCAACTGCCTTTAGAAAGGATCTTCCAAAATTTCTGGAAGAGTTTGATTTCTCGTTTTGTTTAAAGAAAAGCACCAAACGACTAAACATCGAAACAAACGTCACATCAAGCTTGCGCATTCATATTTCTACCAAGAGTATATACAGTACTTTAATTTTTATTTTACATTCGGTACAATGGCACAGATGTTCTTCTCTAACAGAAAATTCTTAAGTGCACAATCTAACCACTGAAGGCCGCTTGCTTAAGTCAGACAGCGAGGGTATGGGTAGGCAGGTAGACGAAGAGTGCTATCAGAGCATTACAGCAACTATAGTAGAAGGCACTGCAGAGGCAAAATAGAAAGTTAACCTCCCAATAAAAACTGCTCAGATCAAGCTTAAGCCTACAAGAGACAGGACACGAAACGCTTACATACAGCGTGTTACATGCTTGTTTTAGTTACTGTACATTATTAATCGCATTAATCCCACAAAAATATGCCTCTATTGTAAGTTCCTGTATAGACTTGAAAATGAGAAAAAGACAAGCATCAATCATTTGAAAAATGTCATTAAATTATAGATAAATACATAGAAAACATCACTTAAACTGGGTAGCATTTGGGCAAAACGGAATAACTTTCAGTGACTCTTTAAAAGAAAAGGTGTTTTTTCTTGTACGCGCAGCCCAGGCGCAGGCTGCGCCGTAGGCTTGTTAAGTAGAACTGTAAGGTTTCTGGGGCTCCGCCGTTTGCCGGACGAAGTATGGACAAGAAGGCGACAATCCCTTCAGAACGTGGCCAATGGCTTTGTTTGTAAATAATATAGGTACGCGGTGCCCATGTCATGAATGATATATATTTTTGTGGTGAATGACTAAAATGTTTGTAACCCAAATGTACGATATTCCTCGCAAAAAACATTCCAAAAAAGCGTGACTCGCATCAAAAACTCCGGCAAAAAATAAGATTGCTCCCAATACATTTCTAGAAGTACACACAGATACAAACATTACTAGCAGTTCAAACCTTGAACAGCATATGAGTCATGCTTTGAGAGGGAAGATGGTGTGTCGACCCACCAGTCCAAAAAGTGTCAGTCCTCTCTTGGAGAGCCGAGTGAATAATGGTGCACAAAATGTCGTTTACCCAAGACGCTGTGGAAAAAAGTGTTTCCATGACTAGTTCTCTTTGAGGCGATTTGAGTTCTCATTCTAAGAGAAACGAAGGTGTATGCAAACATCGTGTCGATTGCAAACTGTGCATGTGCTTGGTCTTCATGTTGTCTTACCCTGCGTCAGAGTTCTGCCACAAAAACCAAATTTGAGAATGATTGGGGAACACCTCGGAAAAGGATCAACGGTTAAGTTTCAGCCCCGGGTCTAAATGTGGGGGGTAATGTTTTAGACATAGAGCGAAAAAGTATTCTCTCACCGACACGCATCACAGCTCGTCCTGTTTAGAGAGTACCGAAAACTCCGAAACACACATGGAAGGTATTAACTAACAATCTAAGAGGAAAATGTAGACAATCAACCCTGCTGTTGGCCATGTGAAAAACGGGCTAAAAAAGGACACAAAAAATATCCCGAAACCTACAATAAAGTGTATACATCCGTCCACGCTGGTGCCAGCCGAGGTGGCACGACTTGGTAATCTCGAAAAGTGTAAAAATCTGTCTTGAGCAAATAATAATGTCCCCAGCTAAAGGCGTATCATTTCATGGGAACAAAACAACCCCTCGACATTGGGTGTGTCTTTCTGCCACCCAGCAAACGCCGCCTCGCTTACCTGCTTGAACTGGCGGATGGCGCCGTTGAAGCGCAGCGCGTCCGCCGCGATCATGGAGATGCCCTCGCCGGGCTCGCGCAGCTGGCGCAGCGAGGAGGTCGGGTTGGGCGCGGAGGCGTGGTAGCAGCAGTGCGCCTCGGGCTGCGACGACTGCCGGATGATGCGCGAGGAGGTGGGCGAGGCCGTGAGCAGCAGGGCGGGCGGCGCGTGTCCGCACGACTCACGCGACACGGAGCGCGGGATGGGCAGCAGCAGCGACGACGAGTCGCGGCGCGCGTCGCAGCCGCGGCAGCGCGAGTGCGGCAGCAGGTGGTAGGCGCCCGACACGGAGCCGCGCGGCCGGCACGGCACCACCTGCCCCTGGCACGGCCCATCCTGAAACACGACCGACATCTGCTCAAAAACGTTGGCATTCCAAAAAAAATGTGTGTGTGTTAATTTAAATGAAAAATTGAGGCCTCCGAGGATACAGATACAGCGGATTCACGACCGCATGCGCGACTATGCCATATTTTAGGATGAACGACAGCGCCTTCTCGCTGGCTGGGAAGAAAGTTCAAGCGCAAGAACAAGAACTCAAGTCACGAAAGTGACTAATTTTGCTTCATGAAAAATGTTCCGCAGGGAGGTCGCCGAGCCTCGTCATCCATCGAGCAAATGCGAATAGTAGCCCGCAGGCAGATGTCGACGGGTTACATGCCTTTTCGCAGGCGGGCACAGCGGCGACCCCGTATAGCTATACATCGTGCACTCCCGCCCCCCTTTCTCCCTTTTTCACCCTATCCTTCGGGAAGGTTGCTCACAAAATTGGATGATGGTACAGACAGAAGGTCGTTTTCATCGAAAACAAAAACAACCTAACAGCACACTGACGGCGAGATGAAGACCTGCACGTCGCAGTGCGGCGAGGCCACCGCGCCCCGCTGCAGCGCCTACATAATCACGGGAAGGAATGATCAAAAGCGACCCCGGTCAGGTTTGGTTGCCTCCTCCGGCTGCTGCCTCGGCTGCTGCCATGCCTGCTGCAACCTGGCCTTGATGTGTCCGCTGCAGTGCACACATACATACGAACTGGGCCATAAGGAGGGGGCGAGCAGATAAGGCCATAAGGCCATAAGGCGGCGGCGGTCACGTTGGGAAGCTCCTCGCAATCTGCGGGCCATCTCCGCAGGGTCTAATCTAACCCCCCCCCCTTCCCCGTCCCCTACTGGCTCCACCACGAACTCCCCCCTACCCCACCCGCTCCTGCCACGAACAAATACTGGAGCACAGGGATGCACCCCTGGGAGTTAGGTGGCGCCGCGCGGCCCCAGCGACAGTAGTCGGGGAAGGTCCGCAAGGTAGGGAGGCAGGCGGGTTGGCCGGGCTGGGTCGGTCGGAAAAGGAGAAGGGAGGGGAGGGGAGGGGAGGGGAGAGGGAGTAGAGGCACGCCCAAGCAGTCTCCCGCGGCAGAGGAGAAATCGGCTAACAGCCGCCCACTGAGATATAGGGGGAAGTGAAGGGGGACTGGCGTCGAATTTTTCCTCTGAAGGGGCGCTTGAGACGGCGTCCCTCCGCCCAACACGGACCCGCTCCACTCTCTTGGACGGCGTGTGGATGTGACGGTAAGGATCCGCAAAGCGCATCCCACCCACGTCCTCTGTCTCCCTCTCACTCACTATTTCTACCACCCTTCTCTTTCCATTCCTCACTCTACTTTTTCTTTCACTCTTCTCTGCCGGCCCGGGCTGATGGGACATATACGGACGTCATCTTTTTTTAGGTCGCCTACGTCGTCCCGTGCCGCTGACGGCGGGGATAGCAAAGGTGGACACGGCGAAGCAGCAGTGCGACACGTCCCCCGAAGTCTATTTGCCCACGGCGAGCCCATCCTGGAAGTGGGCCACCGGGCCGTGTGGACAGTGTCGAGGGGCCGCCCCGCGCCGCCGCCCCCACCCCTTCCCCCGGACACAACCCCCCCGCGGTCTACCGGAAACGTCCATTCGGCACGCGTGAGCCCCGACGGGACACGGCCGGTGCGGGTCCCCACACACGCGCGCGCGGTCGCCACTGCGGGTACCGATAACACAATGGCGAGCGGCGAAATAAGTCGTGAATAGCGCGCACGGGGGGTTGCCATGGTCTTGTCATCCGTCTTTTTTGTGTGCTTTTCTTTTTGGTGGGTGTTTTCTTTTGTCCTTATTGGCTGCTCACCCTTTCGGGTCCTACCGCGAATCCGCTGTTAAAAGGAGGTTTGCAATTTGATTGGACGACAGCAAAAAATATAAAAGAAATAAGTAGATAGGTGTTTAGAATGCCACGTTGAAAGTATTCAAAACGATACGACGCTTATTGGGAGGTGGGTCGACACCACCCGGTTACCTTTGACTTCAAGCGAATTAAATACATACATAAGAAACTTGTGACCCTAATCCGCAAAACAACGGCACAGTGGCGAGCACGGCAACCCATGCTGTCTTGTCTGCCCGCTCGGTGGAGCGCCTGCGGAGCGCGGGGTAGGCCGACCCGCAACACACGGCGGCCTCGCGGCCGGACGGTGGCCTACCTGCAGGGCGCTCGGGGCCGGGGCCGGGGCCGGGCGCGCCATCAGGAGTCCCTCCAGTCATTAGGCCCGCGCTGCCTGCCCCCCCATTCTCTCTCTCTCTCTCTCTCTCTCTCTTATTTCTCTCTCTCTCTCTCTCTCTCTCTCTCCGTCCCTCCCCCACCAGGGCGTGGCCCGGTGCGTCGTCCACCTGGCGGGGGGCGCGGTGCAGGCCAAGGCGGCGGAGGCCACCGCACCGCACCGCGCCGCGGCCCGCAGGAGAGGCTCTACAGTCAAAACTCATTAGCACTCGAGGCCGCCATACGCCCGCCCCACCCCACCCCACCACGGCAACGCTCCGCCACGCCCCGCCACACCCGCCGCGCTGCGCTACCGGGCTGCTCCCTCGGTATTGCTGAGCAAACTACTTTCGCGTTTCGCAGAGTAAACACGCGGAGCCCTTCCTGACCGTCCGGCCATCGCCGCGCCGAGCTGCTCTTCCCCACCCCGCCTCACCCCACCATGCCTCACCCCACCCCGCCACGCCGCTCCCCACCCCGCCAATGCGATTAGCCGCGCTCGCTCACTCGCCGCCTCACCGTGAAAACCAACAGCCACTCTCTCCCCATCTCCATCCAGCTCCTCTCTCAAATGCAGAAAACCTTATATGAAACGGTCGGTAACCAGCGCAGGGCGAATACTACATGACTGTGGCAATGCCTGCGGCGTACTCTTGAAGTGGTCCACTGTTATCAGCGAGTCACAACTAACTCGATAGCCCTGCGGCTGGGCTGGCACGTTGCGACCTGCGCGGTAAACAGGAACGTGACATCACTTATACTTTTATTTTTTCCGTGTCGCTAAAAGAACTTTGAAAGGCCAAAAAGTGTGTCATAATAAGTGTGCTCTCGAATCACTAAGGATCAAAAAGCGATTAAAATTAACATATATTTCATATTCGCGCTGTCAAACGTTAATTGAATTTTTAATACGCTGGGGTGGCGCGGCCGCGCGTTGTCGTCGGCTTGACGAGTTTATCTCGTTACCTAATATTTTTTTAAATCTTCTTTTCTAAAAAAAAAAAAAACTTATTCTGAAGTCATTTTGATGCTTGCGGGCTTGTGGGGCCGCGCGCCCCGCGCAATGAAGTGGCCGCCCCCTTCACGGCCTCGGCGGGTACCTGCGCCACCCGCGGCTTACACAGGCGCGCGCGCTCCGCGGGGCAGGAAGGAGCAGAGAGAGAGAGAGAGAGAGAGGAATTCATTCCAGTAATTGCTTGTTGGGAGATTAGAAACAGACGCCATAATTTATCATCGTAATGAATGGGGATGGGCCGGATTGCGGGCGGCTCGAGTCTCTGGTCGCGCGCGAGCCGCGGCTGCTAGCCTCGCGCCGGGCCGTGCATGTGGAATGTAGAGGAGGGGGGGGGGGGACAGCGGGCTGCCAAACCGCAACACAAAAACCGCATCCCCGCGGTGACAAGTCGTGCCATGTAGGATTTGCGTCACTGGCGAGGGGACGGGACGGGCTACAAGGTCAGGAATAACTGTAATGGGGGGATGTTGTGTGAAGGTTGCGAGTTTCCCAAACCTTGTTAAAAATATTAATTTCACTCAATATGAAAACAAAATAAAACCTACCTGGCCAGTGAGGCGGCAGTGCAGCTCGAGGTCGGGCACGGAGCGGGTGGCCGTCTCCTCGGCGCAGCCCGTGGCCGAGGTCGCGGACTCCTCCGAGCCGCCGAGGCCGTAGCCGAGGCCTCCGGACAGGAAGGTGGTGCAGTCCTGCCGGATGAGGACGGGCTTGCTGGAGCCGCCGAGCACGGCCGGCCTCGGCCCGGAGGCCACCGCTACCGAAGCCATGTCCGAAGCCGAGCTGCTGACGTTGTTGTTGGGAGCGGCCTCGACCGTGACGGTCGGCGTCCGCACCAGGTAGGCGCCCGCCGACGCCGAGGTGGAGGCCGGCGGGGTGGAGTCACCGCCGCCGCCGTCGTCGCAGCCGCCCGCGGCCACGGCCCCGGCGCTCCCGCCGCCACCACTAGCGCTTCCGGGGGCCGGCGAGCTGGTGCCGCCTCCGCCGCCCCCACCGTTGCCAGACACGACGGTGACATGAGGAGTCCTCGCGAGCAGCTGGGAGCTCTCGTCCGCCCCCGAGCTCATGGTGACAGGCAGGGCATCGCGTCAACCTGCAACAGACGGGAACGGGTCAGCTTTATCAGGAGAAAACAGCGCTGTGCCACCCGCCGCCCCACACCCCTGGGCGGCAGCTGGCGCTACAACATGCATGCAGCCCAGGGGTAACAGGCGCATGATAAGTGAAGGCGCTTTGAGGCGTTTGGCCGGCCATACACCATTGTGTCCCAGCCCCCGCGCCGCCCCCGCGCCCCTACCACCCCAGGGCCGCATAGTCACGCGAGGGGCCGGGCCGAGCCGAGCTGCCCCTGCGGCAGGGGGCGCCAGCCGGCGGCGGCAGCGTGGGGTAGGGCGGCGCCCTCGCTACCCCATCCCCCGGCGCGCGACGGTCGGAGTAGCGCCGCTGCCGGAGCGAAAGCGAGGCGCTCTTTTACCCCACGCTTGGACGGGGCCAAGCTGAAGTAGTCTCCGCGTCGTCATGACGACACACGCAACCGAATTTCCACCGACGATGTATTTCAAAAGAAAAGGAACAGACTATGAAACCTAACGAATTATAATGTCGACGGGTTGAATACAGTGTGGGCGAGCAGTCCCCGTTATTCTGGATGGGAAAGCACTCCCGGCGCCCGCCTGACCCGCTCCCCATCCTCACGCACTTTGGGCTCAACCAAACATCCCCGCCTCGCCACACCACGCACGCCAGCCCCCCCACTTGTTATGAGCAAAGTTCGCGTGCAAATGAACTGTGGCACGACAAGTTAACAAGTTTGGCTGGGGGGCGTCGCTCCGCCCGACAGCCGGCGCACCCATAGCCCTCCACCCGGGGCAGCCCCAGAGCCTATCGCAACAAGGTATCGTCAAGAAAGGAGGGCGTCAACGGCGTCAACAGCCGTGTCGATCACGTCAGGCAGCATCAATATTGACGACCCCGCACACAAAAGGGGGTCGTGGCGCACGACGGAAGAGACGCACAAGAAGTTTTTCTTTTCTTAAGAGGGTATTCCCGATTACTTACTTTTCCATGCAACGCGCGCGCATTTTACAGTTAGAAAGATATCGACAGGCCCCGACAATAAGAGACACAACAACTCTTTTCAAGAGTACGCTCACGCCTGCAAGGCATCTCGGCCGCACAGAAAACGCCAGTCAGTCAACTTCAAGAACTCGTAAGGGTGTGAAGTGAGTTCTCATTTGGCACACTTGAGCATTTAAAGCTTAACACTATCCAAAAAAAGTTCGCACAACCACACACTCGAAAGAGCACGAATGGAAATTAACACACCCAAAAGCGTCCATCATTCACACAAGTGTTTCAAGAGCGCGCGTGTAAGGCTTACTCGGGCCCTGCAAACAGCAGCGGTGCTCTGTCATCCACTTGGTGGTTATTAGCCTGGCAGCCGCAGTGTGGCGCACACATCAGAGGGACGCCGGTCTGTTTGCGACCGGCCCGAGAGCACTCGGGGGCCGTGCGGGGCGAGACGCACGCCACGAGACACGCACACACTGCAGAACCTGCTTGAGCGGCCTACGTTTTTAATTGAATTTACGTAATTAACGAGGGGAATGGAAAGTTGCTTTTCGGGTTATTAAGGTGTCGTGCGTAGCTCCCACACGACTGATGGAGATCGCAACTCGCCATGCGAAGCAAGCGGCTCTCGGTGACCGTCGCGAGTAACGCACCGAGCAGTGCCACGTCGACCCTGCGCGCAGAAGAAAGCTTGTTTGAAAGTTGCCAACTTGAGATGGCACTAGGTACGGAAGGGCGTCCGCAGTAGCGCTCGGCACACGCCCTCCAGACCGTCGCCCCCGTGTTTGCACACTTTACCTTTACATTTCACTTTTTGCCCCTCTGCTCCAAGTTTGTCGGCCCCCCCAGGGGGCGGCGGTGGAGACGGCGACAGCGCGGAGGCAGGGGGCGGCGGGAGGGGCGGAGAGGGAGCACCCGGGCGGCGCAGCACTCTACCACAAACCAGTGTTTGGAGGGCGGAGGCGGAGGAAGAGGCAGAAAAAAAGAGGACAGACAGACAGAAGGATGGACAGACAGACAGGACGAGAGGCAGAAAGAGAGGAAGAGAGCCAGGGGCAGAGTGGATGGGGGGCGGGAGAGGAAAGGATTGGGGTTTAAGAAGGAATGCGTAATGTGCTGGCTTAGGTTGCAGCCACGAACTGAAAAATACGGAGTGACCTGCGGCGGGAGGGTTCCGCACTCTTGTTGATCATGTTCACAATGTTAAGAAGTCCATCACATTTTTAGTCAATTTTGGTCATTGTTCAGTCATTATCAATGACATTTCAGTTGTTTTTTTTTATCATGTTTCAGTAATTTTTCTAGACCAACTTCCAGTAATTGCTGAGCTTAACTTGAACTTGAAATTAAACTTAAGCTTTAAATGCTCAGCTCTGTCAGGGAGCGCAAGGGGAGACCGCCTGGAAGACAGCGTGAAGTGAGGCGCCTGGCGTGAGACGTGGGATGTGAGTTGGACAGGCATGCCAACCAAAATCGCGAAAACATTTTAATTTTAGCGCGCCGCAGGCCAAGGTAGACGCACATTTAGCTCAGCTTCACACGGTTTTAACGTGCGTCTACCTTGTTTACAATTAACTTTCACGTCACGTTTAGTCAGTTTTGAGAAATGTGTTTGGTCATTCGTTTGCTTGTTTTTAATTATTTTTTCACTAGTACACACGGAGGATCGAAGTGAGCCCCCCCCCCCTTTTCCCCTTTCCCCTCGGCGACTCGTCCGCCGCTGGCCCGTGTAATGTTTGTCTCTGCGGATTGAGGCGGCCGGGTTTCGGGTCTCGGTTGCAGCAGACCGCAACGAGTGGGTAAAGGCAGGCCTTGTGCGCCTCGTGCCCCAGCCCAGGCCGCCCTCGGGCCCACATACATTTAAACGCCCAGGTAGTTAGTTTCACTCCGACGCCATAGGTCTCCACGGTACGGTGGTCTACACGGTGGGGGCGGCCTCCTCCGCCTCCACCGCCACCGCCCCCGCCCGCCATACTGGCCGCCGCGCCCCGCCGGGACCGGCGGTGTGGGCCGGGACTCAAATGTCACGGTAAGTAAGGAGCGGAGGTGCACACACAACCTTTCGACCGCAGCTCGGCTCCCGCCGGGGCGGCAGGGGCCCTTTGCGGCACGACGCCGCCGCCGAGCCGAGGCCGAGGGGGATGTAGGCGGTCTTTGTCGTGGCTTTTCTCGGCCGTGCACCGCCACCGCTGCCGCTGCCCCCCGGTCCCCACGGGCAACAACAACACAGCCTGAATGGTCCCCCGCCTTGCCGCTGCCCGCCACAGACTGTTATGCCCTCGTCAGAGAAAACTGTTACTGTACTGTAATATCGAACTGCTGTCTGGGGTGCGGCCAGACAGGATGTCCACCTCGACGGCCACCCTCTGGTCACAAGGCGCCGCCCCCGCCTCCACCGTCCCCTGCCGCCCCCCACACGGCGCGCCGACAGCGGGCTGACAGCGACAGAAAACAGCAGCCGGGGAGCAGAACTACAGAAGGCTGCAAAGCGCGCCCAGGACAGGGTAACCCATCCTGCCTGTGCATGCATTTATCAACGGTGAAGTGTTCGTTTATATGTAAATCATCTGATCCCGATGTACTATATTTCTATGATGAAACAATGCTGGTTTGAAACTACTGTACCTAAACATAAATATGAAAAAAAATGGAAACGTACAAATTACGACTCAGGCACTGTATGTCTACTGCGAGGGGGGAATGACACAGGTAATCCGCTAGACACGGCCTGTGTCAATCCAGGGTAATCCGGAGGTAATCCGGAGATTATTTCGGGCGTAATCTAGGGGTAATCCGGGGTAATCCGGGGGGAGATTATTTCGGGCGTAATCTATGGGTAATCCGGGGGGTAATCCGGGGGGATGATCCCGGGGGTTATCCGGCGGTATCAATGGTGATCCGGGAGTTTTCAGGGGGTAATCCGGGGGTAATCCCGGGTAATCCCGGGTTATCCGTTGCACACAAGATCTACGGAGTCGTTCCCCCCTCGGTCTACTGATTCCAATTGACACATTTGACTATTATTAATTCTGTGTTTATTTATGTTTACAACCAGAGTCGAAGGACAGCCCGACGAAAATCAGCATTTACGACGGGCTGAACCATTTCAATTTCCGCGGAACTCTCCCGTGGCGCCTCCCTCCCGGGGGGATGCCGACGTTCTGCAGCACCGGCGGCACCCGCACACGGCGCGGCACTTAACATACTTCCGCACTTTCTCGGCGCCCCCGCTCGGTTAGCAGTATAAAGTTCTCGCGCTCGCGGTGACCATATTAGCGACAGCGGCCCCGCACAACTCGCGCCGTAAACAGCTTGTTCCCGCGAGTTCAACAACGGCGGCGGGGAGTGGAAAAGGAGGGGGGGAGGGAGGGGCACCCGGCCCACCTGGCGTGGCCTAGGCCCGGGGGATGAGGAGCAGGGCGGGGGAACGGAACGACCGGCGACTGTCGGCTTTTCCCACACACTGTCATTTTTGTCACACCACACCAAATGCACATATTTA